GTGTCCCTCCTAGATCTCTTCCTAAGTCAGTTTGCTGCCTCTCTCTGTTCCTGCCTGGCACGCACTGGCACACAGCTGCATTTCTGTGGGGCAGCTCTCCTTGCAAAGCTCTCTTCTGCACTCCAAAGACCAAGAGGTCCCTTTTCAGAGCTTGCCTCCAAAACCATCCTTCCTTCGAGTGCATCCTGAGGGCTGGGCTGGGTGAAGGTCATTGCAGACAGATTAGATTCTGGTTAGATGTCCAATTTCAGCTGAACATAGGACTCAACATAAGAAAGGAAGAGTTGATTACCTATAACACACATTACTTGTGGGTCTGTGAGAGCCCAGATAAACCCCTTTCTAGCAGTGTATCATGCTGTAATCAGATGAACATAGAACAGGAAAAACTGGCACCATTATCAAAGAAATTACAACATCTTCCTCTAATTGCCAACCAACAATAAAATTATTGCCTAATGGATAATTTTCCAATTAAGGTTATTTCATGGTGCCATTTCATTGTGGCTGCTGCTGCGAAGTGGGTTTATGATTTGGAGTTAAGGTAAATGGAGGAATGAAAAAATCTGACTTTAATTTGAGACCTCACACCTGAGACCTGTGTTAGGATGGGAGCTCCTCGAGAGGTCCCCAAGCCTGCCTGAACATGGGATGCGTTTGGTCTCTGGCAAACTTGCTCAGTGCTGAGCAGCCACCTCTGGGCTGCAGCTGATCTCTCCTGCAGTCCTTGGCCAGGGTGGGGGGCAGAGGTTGTGTGGGCAGTTGTTGCAGTGCCACAGCAGCTCTGGAGGTGAGACCTGTCCCTGGTGTGGAGCTGGGCATAGGAGGAGGAGGAGGAGAGGCGTTGGTGCTGCCTGGCCCATCTGACTCATCCACCCCAGGGTGTATTTTGCATCTCCCTTGATCTCGTCATATAAGATTATCACGTCCCTCTGCCCTGTTGAGGCCAAGTCACAAGCCCCCATGCAGGAGCTCCTGTGTGGAAGAGGGGCACAGAGATGGAGCAAGACCTGGGCTTGTCCCAGATGGACATTGGCAGATACAAAGGGGGCTGCTCTAAGCCCTGAGACCCCTGGGTGGGTAGCACCAACCCCTGGGAGCAGGGAAGGGGCTGAGACCCTTGGGTGCTGGGGGGTTATTGCACAGCAGAACCACTTTGGCATCAAGGTGTCACCTCTGTGATGGGGCAGAGCCATAACACAGGGAAGACCTGTACAGGCTGTGAGAGAAGAGCCAGTGCTGCTGGGACAGGGGTGCCCAGCAGCCTCAGTGACACAGCAGGCAGGGGGAAAGGGCTCAGGGGGGTGTTTTCTCTGATGTGCTTTGTTTAGTCATTAACCTCATGTTTAGAGAGACTTTAGGGGGGACTTGGTGAGGAATCTCCTGTTATCTCTGAGCATTTAATCATCAGGACTCCTTGGTCCCAAACGGGTGGGCCAGTGTTGCGAATCCTGGATTAAGTGTGATCCTGCCCTCCTGAAGGGATGGGAATGCTCCTCCATCCCCACCAGGTCCCCTTCTTCCCTTGGGGCTGAGCCTCCTGACCGTGCAGCACTGAATGGAAGGGCCGTGGCCTCAGGGCAGTACCTGAATCACTTTCTGCAGTGATTTCCACCCTTGCCGGATGCTAAGTGGCTTTTTGCTCTGGGAAAACCCATCCTCAGTTGCTGATGGGCTGGGACTGGCTCTGCTCTGGAGCCACAGGCTGCATAGTCTGTCTGATGAACCACCAGCAGCGTTTCACTCCGTCTTTTGGCTCGTCTCTCCTCTTGGTTGTGGTCTGGGGGAGGTGAGACCCCCCCTGTGCTCAACCCCAGCCCTTGTGCTGAATGTCTGGTGGGAACCTCTCATTGTACCCAGCTCCTGGTGTGTGCCCGGGCTGCAGGGCACCATCCTGCCTGTGCTGAGCACAGCATTGCTCCACCACTTCTGTTTCTCCCCAGGGAAGCAGAACCCCCCCATGATCTGCTGGGAGCCGCTGACTGATGCCCCTGCCGTGCCCTATCCCTCCCCAGGACCATTTCAGCAGCCAGCCCAAGGAATTCTCCTCCTGCATCCCCCAGCGCATCCCACCACAGTGGAGGGGAGAAGACGGAGGGGACTTACCATTGCCCATAGCCAGCACCTGCATGTTCTCAAACTCCAGGGTGGTATACGCCGGGTCTAGCGCCGCGCTATAATCTGCCATCTCCATGTCTATTAGGGCTTTGGAAAGGCGCATTATCATCAGCAAACACGGGCCAGATTGTACCGATTCCCTTGTCCGAGGCTATTGGCCCTTCTGCCTCCCTCTGCCTTCGCTGCGTCCCTATCTGTTGTCTTTTATTTCAGGTATTTCTCTGAAAGGATTTGCTGAGCCTCAAGGCCTGTACTCCCCAGAGGGGTGGAGGCAGGAGGCAGGGGGTTAATCTTTAATCATCTCACTCACTGTGAATGCTGCTAAGCTGCTTTTTTTTTTGGTGGAGCAGCAGTGATTCTTGTTGACTGTTTATTATTGCATCTCAAGGCACTCTGCCGATCCCGGCTCCCATGCGCAGGCAGGACACGGGAGCAGGCTCTGCCGATGAGGGAGCACCTTCCCAAGCTACCGACCTTGATGCTGAGCTGCTGGTGTTGGGCTTAACAGTACTTGGGGTGGAAAACTTGGAAACCCCCCTGACAGGAGAACAAGGGTACTCTTCACTTCTGTCATTGCCTTCCCCTCTCCACTGCTGGCTGTCTTCACCCCTGTTTGTCCCTTCTCATGTTCCCAACATCCTTCCCACCCCTTCTCCTTTCCTCTCCCTCCCACTCAGAGAAGGTCAGTGCCTGCCTGGCAATTTACACGTTGCTATGCAAAGTAATGACATATGACTCCTTTTACTTCCCTATAAACAGGGTTTTATAGGAGCTGGATGCCCTATAAACAGATCCTACTCTGCAGCCGTGCCCAAACAGCAAGCGGGGCTGGGGGGCAGCATGGACACTCTGGGCATCCTTGGGGCTGCTTCTGTCCCGCTACCAGAGCCACCCTGTGCCACAAACCCCCAGCCTTGGGCTGCATGAGGTGTTTTACACCCTGCAGTGGGATTTTTCCTTCTGTGGATGCAGTTGTCACCAGCACCATCGGTGGTTCTGCTGCTTCACCCAGACCCTGCTTGGTCTGAGCAGGGGGCCAGAGCAAGCAGCAGAGCTCCCGGTGCTCTCCTTGTTTATCTGGATGCTATCCTTCCCCCTGCCCCTTCACTTTAAACAGAAGTGAGATATTTCAGTGTAATAACAAGATCAGTGACTGGGAATGTAATCAATGGCTGGATGGCATTGGCTGCAAGGCCCTGGAGAACCAGCATTTAATGGTTTGGTATCAGCTTGCTCTGCGTTGAAAACATCCCTGTGATTTCGCAACCAGGTGACTGAGTCCATAGGCTGCTGATTTGGGCTTCCAACTGGCTCGTGTTTGTGCTTCCCAGCACCCCAGTGCAACCCTAGCCCCGTTGGCACCCAGAGCTGTGCTGTGTCATGTTGTGGCATCGCTGCCACAACTTGATACCAAGGTCTCTAGCTCCACAACAGGAAGTGTCTTTGCGCAGTGATGCTAGTGAGGATTTGCTGTCACGTTTTAGGAGCACAAGACGCTATTCAAGCAGCCCTTGCCCCCTGAAACTATGACCTATATAGCACCTCCAAACAGCATTTCTGCACATGTGAAGCTGAGCACAGGGCTTTCTCCTAAGGGACTCTGATAAATGATCTTTTGCTGCAGGGGGACTGTGATAAATGATGTCTGCTGCAGGAAAAGCAGTCATCTGGTCTGTGCAACTCACGTGCCAGTGGCTCTTCCCTTTGGTAAGAGCAGCCCTGAGCCAAAAATCGTTTTTACAATGAGCTCACTGAGATGGGGATACTAAGGTAGAACACAGCCCCCTCCATGACCTCATCCCAGAGACCTCCATCCCAATCCTGGCCGGGCCATGATGATCCCTTTGATTAGATAAATGCTACAGACACTACCTCAAATATGTGCAGGATTTGCCACAGCGTCTAGTAAAATATCATAAAAGCATGGCCCGTTCTGCTCTGCTCAGCAAAACAAACCTGGGTTTTGAATAGCCTGCTGAGCCAGGAAGGCTGCAAAGGCCGTTTGCTCCCAGGGCAGGAAGGATTAGAAGGGCCAGGAATAGAAACCGGTGAGGCAGCGTGTGCAGGAGAGCGGCAGATAAGGACCGGGGAAGTTTGGAGAGCATTAGGTGGCTCACAAGGCTGGGACTGTCAATGGGACGTGGTGCTTCCCAACTGGGGTTGAGTTGACTGTTGTTTTCTCACCACCGGTGTCCTCCATCGGTCACCAGTGCCTCCTCCCAAATCCCTTGTCTCAGACCTGCCAAGGACACCGTGTGATTCCTTTGCCCTGGAGATGGGCTCATGATGGAAACACATTGGCTGCTCCCTGAACATGGTCACACTGGTGATGTTCTGCTGGGGAGTCCTTGTCTCCCCCTGATGTCCCTGCATGGTGGGGTTTGGGACAGCTTGCCAATGTAGTCATGGCTTGTACTAGCCAACAGGGTGCTGCTGCCCTGCAGCTGCTTTAGATGGAGATGCTCAAGTCAGTGGCTGTTTGTGGGGTGGATTCAAACACTTCTGTCCTATGGGAGATGTTTTGTCATTTTTATTCCAGAGAGAGACGCCTCATAGCTGGCAAACCCCCACGGGTAGGCAAAAGCTGTTCCCAGACTAAGTGCTCAGGGGAAATTCAGCCTTCAGGTCCCCTCCTCTCTCCTCCTGTTCCCATTTTCTGAGCCCTCCACCTGTTATTTCCTAGCCAGGAGATCACTGCAAAGGAGACCGTGACAGTTCTGTGCCACTGATTATTTCATTTTTATCTTTTGAGCAGTAAACCCTTTCCCACAGTTGCACATCATGACCCTTATTCTGCCTTATCTATATATCTCTGGCTGGTAAATTCATCCAAAGCAAAAGGGGATTCCCTGAAAAAACAATCTATGCTGTTCAGTAAATGAAGGTCAGGAATAGAGTATATAATAGAGCATTTATGGTAAGGATGTCATGAGCTACCGTGCTTGCTAGCTCTTCATGTTAAGTGGGTGAGCAAGCTCCTCTCTCAGGCTCCTTCTGCCCTTCTTGAACAGGGTGTTGAAAGATTAAATGATCATTGAGGTTGGAAGGGACCCAAGGGTCTCTACTCCAGCCTCCTGCTGGAAGCAGGGCCAAGGATGGAGACCACACAACCTCTCTAGCCAGCTGGTGCTTGACTGTCCTCCCGGTGAGAAGGTTTCTCCTTAGACACTGCCTGAACCTCTCTCCCATTGTTATGCCCATTGATCTCCTCTCACCTTGCACCCTGTGAGGAGCCTGGCCACATCTCCTCAGTGCCCCTGTGTGGGTTATGCATCTGCAGGTCCTGCTGGCCCATTCCTGCCTCCATCATTGATGAGATCCCCCATTCTGGGGCCACCTGCAGCTTTCTGAGCACGGACAGTGACCAGGAGGCAGTGAGGAGCCTGGGGCCCTCCTGCCCTTTGCTTTTCCCTCTCACAGCTCTGCACTCTTAAGAGATCCCTGGCGGAAATGCCAGTGCCTAGAGCCAGCAGGACCAACCTCTCCTTACACGAGTGATGCCACCACTGCCTCTTGCAGCCCTGACTCCAGATTCCTCCCATGTCATTCACAGTTCCAAGGGCACCATGGGACTGCACTGGCTTCTCCTTGGCACGCAAGCGAAGCAGAGATGGGCTTGGATCTGAAAACTCTCCAGAGCAGGACAGCCCTGAGCAAGGTCAAGGCCCGTGCTCATCCCACCACCATTTTGCCAAGCGGGTGGTTGGGAAGCACAGAGCCCAGTTACAAGACAAAGGCCGGGAGTCCCAGGGCAGCGTCACCAGCGCAGTCATCTCCACACATGCAAAGGTCCCTTCTGCCTTTTTTTTTTTTCCCCTTTGAAATTTCAAATTCCAGTTTGTGGACAAAGTCCTGCCTATCTGAGAATATAGATCTCCGACCACTGACCAAACTCCACTCCAAGCAGTCCCGAGGGCTGCTCTTCCCCTTGCCCGCAGATGCCTCCGCTCAGCCCCTGGATCTGCTGGGATCACTCCTTTTGCACTGGAGCAGAGTGCTCGTACTTGCATAAAGAGGATTCTGTGTGTTTCAGCCTAAACATCAGCAGCTCCCTTTCTCCTCACGGAATGGGAAGGACCATCGGGAATAACCAGGTAGGAACCTTATCACCTGCAATTCATTTGGGCAGCCATTGCAGATAGAAAACGAGAAGGAGAAACAAGAGCTTCTGTTGTGCTTATATCAGCAATTTTAGCTCATCGTTTAAATTAGGGAAGGGGGGAAAAGGCGGCTTCAGAGGAGATGAAAAGTAAGAGGGAACATGAGCTGGTAGAGGCAAAGCCACTCCATATGGTTAACTGATAACTCCAATTTGCCTCTTCCCTCTCATCTTTTTTGCTTCTCCTGATTAAGCTCAACTTACTCTCATGCTAATCATTTCTTGACCTGTTTATTCTACATTAAAAAATTAACAGGGAGCAGTTTACTGCATGACTTGCTCACACAGCATTGCCACAGATTAGCAGGCAGGCTTTAAGCCTCCACGCAGGACTTTTGGGTCTAACAGCCGGTCTACACAGCTCGAGGATGAGCTTTTTTTTCCTGTTTTTAAAGAACAGCTTTTTCTAAAGTCAACGTAAATCCCCCTCCCTTCATGCCTTGAGTATATTTGCTCTGTGGCTATTTCCAAATGGGAAAGATAAAGCCAAGGGCTCGTGTTTTGTCAGACTTTTTGTAAACAGGGATATTTAGGCCACACTGTTAAACCCTTCTGACTTCTACCATGCCATGATTCCAGAGCAAAGTCATCAGTGCATTAAAAGCATCTCCAAGGAATTTGGCAGGGTCTGGGGGGGCTGCAGGTCAGCGCAGCTGAAACAAGCCCCAGTTCAAGCAGAGGATCTTTGCTTCTGGGCAGTCATACGATGGACACAGAGCTGGGGTCAGTGCCTCTGTCCATCCCCACAGCGTCCCCAGCAGCAGCGAGAAGGCTCCAGTAAAACTGATGATTCAGCAGAAGCTGTTCAGGGTCTGTTTGGCCCTCACCAGCCTCACAGAACATGTCCCTGCCCCAGCAAAACACCTTGTGGAGGTGAACCGGAAAGGTCCACCACCTACATCCAGGGACATGGATCAAAAAGATCCAGCCCTGCGAGGCAGGAGGTGACCACAGCCATGTGCCAGACATGGTCCCTGAGGGAAGATGCAGGTATTTCATCTTCCTGTGCAAAACCAGATCAGTCTTGGTGATTCATTGTCCCTAGTGCTCTGATTGGCACAGATGCTGCTTGGAGCTGGGGGCAATGTCCAGGACAGACGATGCCTGAGCAGACCTCAGCCATGCTGTCACTGGTGAGCTTGTGACATGCAGTGGTACCCTGAGCTCCCCAGCACCGCTCGGGGTGATGGAGGCAGCTTCCCCTCAACCTCAGGTATTTCTCACCAATGCCAAATCTATCACGAAGTGGCCAAGCCAACCAAAACTGCCCCCAGGACATAAAATCACCATATGGAGAATCAAGGCAGCTTTTGGACATGGGGAAAGAGATGCTTTAAAGGAGGTTGATTGAACTCCTCTCCAAAAGCAATGTGCATTTTAGCCAAAGCTGGGATGAATGATGGAGCTGGAGGCAGTTATTGGAGCTAAAATAAAAAGTTGGTATGTAAAAGCATTAGGAAAAGAACTGTGAACATGAGGGGAGACAGACCATTTCAGCATATGTTGATAACACTGTGCATTGCTTTCATCCCAGGACCAGAAAGGGGTTTATTATCCTGCCTAACAAAGGCTCTGAGCACTTGAGGAAGTAATTACTAATACTGTTGCTTTGCCAAGAGAGTAAGTGTGAACTGTTCTCAGACCAAGCTAGGAAGAGGAACTGTTGTTTCATCTTGCATTACCCCATAGGCTGTAACTCATCCTGAGCTATAGCTCCAATTGCTGATCCCGCTTGCCTCACCTAAACCACTAAAGCAAGGGCTGTGCTCCATCTAAACCACAATCCAGCACTTTTCAGCAAAGCACCCTCTTGCTCATGTGGGAGGAAGCCTGGGAAAGCTCTGACTTTGCCACATGCTGTTTCAGGTTCACTGCACTGGCAGATGCTCAGCTTGAACCCAGCCATTTAAGCCCAGTTTAAACGGGAGAGCAGAAGCCATGGGGAAGCAGCAGTGCTGGAGAGGGTTTGCTGCTAGCAAGAAGCACCTGTGGATGTCCATGCCTCACCAGCTCACGTGTTCAGTGTGCCAGGGATCTCAGCAGCCCACATCTGGAATTGTTTAGCAGGTTAATATAATGCCTTTGGAACTGAAGCAATCTTATAACTTCCCAGAGAAAAAGAGCCCTACAGAGCACCCCATGTAGCAGTTTAGAGATCCTCTCCCTTCACCCCTGTCATCCTGCTTGCAAGGGATTTAGGTTTCATTGAATTCTACATTCACTATACACACATGAAACAGCCCTGGATCGTTCCAGCTGGTGAAGCAATGGGTGAGAACAGCCAAAATCAACAAAGCAAGTTTAACCTTTCTTTTTTAAGCTGCTTTTCTCTTGTTTGCAAATGTGGATGCTGCAACGAGCCAAGATGGGGACTGAACCCCAGTCACTGCTGGGGCTCTCGGGATCAGCCCTCACTAGAAATGAAGGCAAAGGACTCCAAAGCTGCTGGAGGTGTGGAGGGATTGTCCAGTGGGGCAAGTCTGAGCCTGTATCCCCAAAGGAGGGCAAGTCAAGGGCTCCTCAAGGGCAAAAAGCATCTTCCTGATGGAAAAGTCACCCTGGGTGGGAAGATGAACTTTGGGGGAGCATCTCAGGAAAGGGGTGGGAGACAGCATGAGGAAGGTGTAAGGTTGCTGGAGGTGGGAGCACTGGGGAGGTCTGAACTGGGGAAGGTAGGCTGGGAATGAGGGAAAAATAAGAAAGCAAGGAGTGGTAAGTTGAAATTGGAGAGATTCTGGTTTCTGGAGTCAGAAGGAAACAAGTCAGTGCAAGCTGTCCCTGCCCATGGCAGGGGGTTGGAACTTGAGGATCTTAAGGTCCTTTCCAACCCGAACTATTCTAGGATTCTATGATTCCATGGAATGCTTTTTCTCCGCAGGAGTGTGCAGGGTGCCTGGATACGCACTTGTCCTCGGTGTCCTCAGTCACCAGAGCACACCAAGTGCCAGAGGGGTAAGTGGGAGCTAAGTAGCACCCTGGAGCTTCATGTCCACAGCAGCTTCGCACCCCTGCAGCCTGTGGCCACCACAGCACCTCCCGTGCAACAGAGCATCCTGTCCACTGCCACAGAAACACGCAGCAGCAAGCAAGGTATGGGAACAGGGGAGCTTTCTACAGGCAAGGTTTGTTGCATGGGGAGGGGAGAAGATCACGCATGGGCACGACACTGCAGTGCCAACTGCCTGGCTCCCAGCTAACAAACAACATAGCTAACGACTAATTAGCCTCTGAGCATTTGACCTATGTCTCCAAGACAGGATAGCACTATTAGTTATCCCTTTACTTTCCTGGAAGGCCCAGTGCCATTGGCCTCTTGTATCATAAAGAAATTAAAGTATATTATGACCATAAACTACATCATTTGAGGAAATGAACCATTTCTTAGTAAACCAATCATGGGACACAGCAACCATGAACTTTTCTAAATCAATTGCTACTGATAAAGAGCACAGGTATTTGCTGGGAGCAGCTCCCAGTACGTGGCTCCCTGTGGGGTGCTGCTGTGGAGAGTTCATCCCACGGGATGGTGATTTGGGATGCAGACTGCCCCAGGAGGCACAAACCCCACTGTCAGCACAAGCCCTGCTTGGGGGGATTGCTCAAGCAAGAGGAGCCCCAGGATTTTTGCTGTGCCCCAGGGCAGAGTGGGGGCTGTTGGGGTGTTCTGTGGATGAGGCTTTAAAAGAGTGCTGGGTTTGGGATGCACCAAACATGTCCAAGTGCCTGCAGAGGCCCCAGCAATGCCTTGAGTCCAGTCAGCTTCTTCTCTGTGTTCCCTGTGGGAGCTGGCTTGTAGAGAACTTGGGCTGAATTGAGACCCAAAAAGACCTTTTCTGTAAGAGCTCTGTGCAGCCAGAACTGAAACTGTTTTAGCTGCTTTTACACTTTGATTATGAGGGCTGGGTAAGCCCCACTGCACACCTCTGGCTAAGGAGCTAAGGCAGTAAAAGAGGGCAGGACCAGAAGCTGTGCTGGAGGTTGGCAGGGCGCATCCCTGGGCCTGCTGGGGCAGTGATGACAGGCACTGGGAACTGGACTGAGGACAACCGATTCATTTCCCAAATGACACAGCCAGGGTGTCTGTGGGACAGCAGTCTGTCTCCACCATCTCTTCCCCCAGGAGTCCCAGCACCCACCCCACCATGCTCCCAAGTTGGGGTGTCTCTCTCAAGAGCCCTGGAATCAAGCTTGGGGGCAACAGCCACCACCCCCCACAAACCAAAACAGAAACCAGGGACATTGGGGTCCCCTCTGATGGGGACCAGCGATATGTATGTGGGGGATTAGCATATTCTGCTGCTCTGAAACCCCACTGGAGACCCTGGGGGTTGCCAATGCCCTTCATTCACATCGCCTCTTCTCTACCTGCTGTGAGTGCCAGCGGGAGCGTAGTGGGTACCTGGTGTTTCCTGGAGCAGGCTGTATGTGCTGCCATTCATCTTCTCTGCGGGTCGAACTAGGGGAGTCTCACCCTGGGATGGGGCCGTGCAGCCAGCGAGCCCCCCGTGGGCAGCGGGGCATGAGCCATGCCCAGAGCTGGCTGTGGTGCGGCGGCAGGGACCGGCTAATCCCTTAATGCTGGTCACAATGAGATTTGATGGGGAGCAGGAGTTCATGCCGCAGAGCCGCAGATTTTAAAGGCTTCTGGCTACTACCCGGAGGGGAATTATAAGGTGGCTCTTGGTCTGTGCCCTGCTGCCAGTGCCCACAGGCTGCTTTCTGGGCCACCTTTCTGAGGTGCCCTCACCCTGACCTCAGGCCTACTGCTGGGTTTGTGCAGGGCAGCCCCGGAGGCTGCTCCAGAAAGCATGCCTGGGTGTGTTTAACAGCAGGAGTGGGTCTGACTCCCTCTCTGGGGAGAGGCTGCCTGCTTTCCCTTTAAAATGTTGCTATATAAATACCCAGAGCACCATATCCTTGAGAAATGACCTTTGCCGTCCCTCCCAGACAGCATCATAGCACTCAGGGATGGGGATGCGGGGATGAAGCAGGGTGGCAGAGGGAGCTGTTTGCCTGGTGCTCTCTGTCTTTGGGCAGCACCGAGTTTGTCCCACAGACATGTTTCTCCTCTGCAGGGAATGTGCGTGCCAGCACTGGAAAATTAGGTGTAGGATTAGTGTGGCACTTCACTGGGTGTTCACAGGCACTGAGTAATACATTGAATGATGGAAGGGAGAACTGGGCACCTTGGCAATGCAACCCTGTGCCCCAACCATGGCCAGGAGAGAGCATGGCCTCCACACCCAGAAGAACCATCTCAGGGCCAATCCCATCTGAAACACCCATTTTCCTGCACTTTCCTTTCTCCTTGAATGGCTTTCAGCCCACCAAGCAGCCTACCCCTGTTTTCACTGTGCTAAGGAGGAGAGAGCTCGTTCCTGCCATCCAGAGACGTTGGACTGGATCCCGAGCACCATCTCAAAGGCGTAAGTCTAATGGAGCTAAACCATTCCTAAACCATTCCTGTCCCATCTCTGCAGCTCCCACCCAGGGCTGCCTGTGGTGCATTCACATCAATTTGGAATGCATGCGCTGGCAGCTGCCAGAAGGCTCCTGATGAGTCAGGGATGAGGAATGACCACAAGTCCATACATTGGCTCCATGCCCAGGGAAGGGGTGTGCTGATGCCCAGCTTGCCCACATGGAGCCAGGAGCAGCATCGAGGGCAGGGCTGGGGCTGAGCTGTGCGTAACCCCATGACACCTCCCTTCACCCCTTCATTTCCACACAGGTTTCAATGCCTGTAGCACAGAAACACACCCAGGCCAACAGAGATTTCTCTCAGACAGTGGCAGTCCCTGAGCACACTCAGGGACGAGCTGCAGGCAACACCCGCCTCTGCTTCCACAAGGGTATCTATCCATGGGGTGGCAAAGCTACCATCTCCATTCCACCACCATTTGGTCCCTGATGGCAGCAGACTCTAGGGAAGGAAGCAGCCAGGCTGTGGATCTGAAGCCTTGTCCCCTTGTCCTTCCTGTTCCTTATTCCACCCTTCATTTCCAGTGCCATCTTTACCCTGCCGATGGTTGGTTCCCTTGGGCACCCATCAGTGCCCTCTCTGCTCCTTCCTGCTGGGGCACCTCGATCTGGCTGAGTCTGCTCATCCTTGGGGCAGGACCTGCTCATGTGCCATGATGGCTGCAGGTGAGAGGCCACGCAGCTTGCTGGATGGGGGCCTGCAGCACAGGCAGGGCTTTTTTCCATGTGGCAGTTGTTATTTTATGCCTCCTGCTGAGCCTCACAGTGTTGCCCTATCCATTAACCCGACATCCTGCCCAGCCTCACAGCCCATGGCCAAGTTTCCTTGGGTGACGTTAGCATCAGTGCATCCTCTTCCCAGGCTGAGCTGGTAGTGGGACGGACCATGCCATCCAGATGATGGGGTGGGATGCAGGTCCTGCCCAGTTGGTTGGAAACCAGGGCAGGCTGGCACACTGGAGATGAGCAGCAGCTTCTTATCATGGGGTATCAAGGCTTTGGGGACCACACAGCAAAATGCTGAGCCTCCCCTTGGAGCAGAGGTGGGGAGAGAAGTGGCTGAATGGGGCAGGAGGAGCGGCACTGAGCCATAAATGCAGCATGGTGGCTGTCGTTTATGTGTCAGCAAACACCTTGAGTGGGCTTGACTATTGATTCTGACTGTATAAAAGAGTGTTGTGGCACTTGTTCAGGTCTGTGCAGGTTTTACAGCTCTTGTTCGGCGAAGTGCTCATGTATTTGGTTTTGCTCCTTCCTTCAGGTCTATCTGTTGACATTGGCTCTCCTGAGCAGAGCGTTGGGCCACGCCAGGGAGCTGAGTGTACAACTCTCCTTGCGTTTCCCACTTTCCCAGGGGTTATCGCCTATGAAATCACACACACACCCATGGCCAGAAAGGGTTTCTGATGCAGAGGCAGGTGAAAGGTGCCCACTGGTCCCACGGTGGTGAGTTTGGGTGCCCCATGCTTGGTGGCAGGAGCTGAGCCACCTACCCTGCCAGAGGGGGTTTGGGTGGATGGGCAGAGCCACAGCAAAGGCAGCCTGCGGTGGGATGAGCACAGTCAGAGGTCTGTAGAGCTGTGATGAAAATCAGAGCATCAAACCAGCCTGGTTGTGCAGGGAGGAGAATGTGTCAGGGCTCCCATTGCAGAGGAGATGGCCAATGCGTGGTGACCCACAGCAGGAGGAACACAGTATCACACATTCACCACCTCCAGTCCTCTTCCCAAAGAAGATGCCAGCACTGGCTGAGCCTGCAGGGACACTTGGTGCTGGGGGCTCAGAGGGCTTGAGCCCACGGTGATGGTCCCCCTCAGCACTGGGGCTCCTGGCGCTATAGGGATGCAGCCAGAGTCCCTCCAGTGGCTGCAGCATTTTGGGATAAAAAGTCTGGTCCTGCTTTGTGGGCACTTCAGCTTTTTGGAGATAGGATACACCTGATCCTCAGTCTTTCCACAGCCACTTGCTTTGTATGGAGCTGCTTCAGTGCATCATCCAGAGCTCACTGTCAGTTTTTACTAACACTGTGAGTCTTTCCTGAAGGGGTTTGCTGGATGATTTCTGCTGATGCTCAGGCTGAAGCTGGGACGGGGCTCATTCTTTGAGGGTGATTGCTTTTGGCACCTGGCTTTGCTCAGAGGCCCCAGTGGGAATGTGGTGCCTCTGCCCAGCGCAGAGCCATCAGCCCTGGGTTCATGATACAGCCACTACCTTGAAATTTGCCTTTCGTGAAATTCTGCAACATTTGCTCTTTCCACAAACATTTCTGCCAGGAACGCTGTTTGCTCCAGTATTTGAGGAAAGCAAACAGAGGGGGAGCCTGAGCACAAACAGTCATGGATGTTTTTTCGCAGTGTTTGCCCTGCTCTAACCCCAAGCCCACCACAGAGACACCTGTAGGTGACCCCTCTGCTCCAGGTACCCCTTGGCTCTGCCTGCGCCCACTGCTGGCCACGATCCCACTGGAAATACTGCTGTATTCCAAAGATCCCCCGGACCTTGCTGCCTGTGGGACCCCCATCGCTCACCCCCCTTTGCGCTCGCTTTAGACAAACATCATTTTAATGCCATTCGAGAACTGTCAGCAGAAGACCAACGGAGCCCGTCTGACCCACACACCTACACCAGCCACTCCTCAAGCCTTCCCAGGCCTCGTGCTGCTCACCTCCCAGAGCTGGAGCTCACTCCCATTGTAAATTACCATCGTGTTGCCAAGTGAAGCCGCAGACCAGGGCGTGCTGCTGCCTGCTGAGCGCTGGGCTGAGGCGGCTGCCCCGGTGTGGTGGAAGCTGCAGCCCTGCATGCAACCGCAGACACTGTCTCGACACCAAGCAGCATCCCTGCCGCTCCCAGCGATGCGGAGCATCATCCCCTGCTCTTCCCCAGGGAGACCCTCTTCCCTCTTCCCTCAAGCCAAGGCAGCTAAAGCAGTGTTTGTTCCTTCTGCATCCCATCTGAATACCAGGGCTTGTTTCTGGGTGCATCAAGACCCTGCTCAGCGGTTCCTTGCCCTGGTAAGTGCTCACCCTGCCAGTGTTATAAACACCACTAACAGCCAGTGGGGATGGTAGGAGTGGGCACAGGGAAGGATCTGTGCAGGTGTCCCAAAGGTTACAAGTCCCTGATGGCCTCCGTGCCATGGACACAGAGCACAAGGAGTAAACAGAGGAATTAAATCGCAGCTGACATGAGAAATCAAGGGGGGGAAGCTCAGTTTGGGTAGTAGCTAGTGTAAAGCTGTAATTAGATCAATTTGTCAATGAGAAATAGCTGCTTCATAGTGAAAAGTAAAAATCCTCAGAACTTGCCTCCTCTTGCATCCTTCAGCTGAAGCTGTTCCCCACATCTGACCATTTTCAACTGATTTCAAGATCGCATTTTTCAGCTGATTTCCAAAGCTGCTTTACTGAGCTGGCCCTGCTGTAACCACTGGCCCCGGGGATCCCTGGCTCTGAGACCCTTCCAATATACAAAGGAGAGGTGCTGCCTGTGCTGGGATTGAAGGAAATTGCCAGGATTGCGCCCAAGTCTCATTTGGAGAGCTAAGGTGGAGCTGGGGTCTCATCACCAACTCGCTGCCCCTTATGCCTTCTCCATGCCCTACCTTCTCACACACTCATATGCAGCCTCCCCTGGGGATTTAGCACCAGTTTGCCTGGAGGAGCCCTTCCCAGCAGAGCATCCTCCAAACCCTTTACACCAGGCACAGGTCTGATGGGAGAGAAACCAGTGCCTCCAAGGTATGGTTTAGGGGGAATGCTCCAGGCAGTCTGGGGCAGGGTTGAAGGAGCTGCAGTGAGTGGATGCCCTGCTCTGATCTCATCAATGCCACTGCTGTAAAGAGCAGGCTAGACCCACTCACTGTCCTGAGGCCAAGTGCCAGCACCCAGCTTCCCCCTTAATATAACCCTGGCTTCAATCGGATACTGAAATGCTGAAGTCCCTCATAGATGGGGAGACAGAAAAATCAGGGAGTCTTTCTATCTGTCAAAGGAAACTGAAGATGACCCCTCCAAGGCTGAAGGCTCATCTGGTGGATGTGGTGTGCACCATCAGCTGAGCCCCAGCAGTGCCCTGGGGGTGCCTGGGGCTGGCTGCACTGGCATCACTGCCTGGAGCATCCCGTTGCTTTTCAAGAGCATAATCTCCCCAGTGACCCTGGAAAGGGCTTGGCCATCACTTTGCCATCAGCCCCATGGCGCATCCGGCTGCTGTGCCCACCCTGCCACACAGCCCAGCCCCACAGCACCGCCAGGCACTGCCCAGTCCCCAGCCCTTCCTTGCCTCTATTTGGATAACTTTTTCACCCGTTTTATTTACGAGGACTCCCCTCCTTCTGCCAACACTGAGCTTCCTCCCCCTTTGGTCCGGGAGGCCCTTCTTGCTTTTCTATCCTTATTCTTTTCCTCTCTTCCCCCTTGCAAGGCCCCAGGCTCAGCCTCACGACCGGCTGGCAGGCAGTGGTCCCACGGCTTTGTTTGGCCAGGGGAGCAGATGGTGGGATGTGCAGTGACTCTCCTCCAGCCACCCTGCAGTTCCCAGCCCTGCCTGCGCCTGCCCCGTGGCTCATCACTGACCTTCAGGCTGAAATATTAGGAGAGAATCAGGATTAAACCAAAAAACCAGGACAAACCAGTGGCAATGTGTGCCTGCCTGTGCTGGAGGCCACTGATGTGCCAGGGCGGGCAAGCGGCTGCTCCCATTGGAGCCAGCTACAAGTGGGCAGAATGACTTAATCGTAAGTGATTAAAGAGCTTGTTCAGCTCCTTGCATTGCTCGCTACAGGAATGAGGTTGGGTTTGCACCCTGGGGCTTAGGGCTGGAGGTGGCACCCACAGGAGGCTGCAGCCTGGAGCAAGAGAAGGCACCACCCAGAACAGGGCCATGGGCAAAGTGCGAGGAGGTGGCCTGGGAGTCCCACAAACCCTCCTGGGACCTGGGTGAGTGTGGGCTGGTGGGGCTGTGTGGGGTCGTGACTGAGGTGTGGTAAAGGAGAAGGGGAGCAGGACATGAAAAATACAGTGAGGAGAGGCAAGGTACCAGGATGGAGAGAGATGGGGTGTGAGGAGGTGATGGAGAGCCACAAGGAAGTAGTGGAGAGCCACCAGGAAATGATGGAGAGCCACAAGGAAGTGATGGAGAGGCACAAGGAAGTGATGGAGAGCCATGAGGGCATGATGGAGAGCCACAAAGAAGTGATGGAGACCCATGAGGATGATGGAGAACCTCACAACTGTGAGACCCTGTTTACTGAGGCCTTCCTCCACATGCTGGCCATGCCCAGGGAACTGGGATCCCCAGATCTCATGGAACCAGCCCCAGCCCCTTGCTGTGCAGGTAAGCTGTAGCATGGGCACATTTGAACCCATCCTGAGGGTAACTGGTCTGGTGACAGCCTGGGCAGGGGGACCTGTCCCCTGGTGCCCATGTTTGTTGGCAGAAGGCATCTAGCACAGCCAACAAGAGCAGTGGCACGGGGCTGTCCCAGACTCGTACCTGCTGTGCCGCACAGGGAGCATGGGCACAGGTCTGGTGTGCATCTCCCTGCAGCCAGGCTCCCTGCCTGCTGCTCTGTACCCCAGACACTGGAGCTGCTGTTCATCCAGGCACTACACTGGGATCCTGCCCAGCCCCAGCAGCACTGGCACAGCCCTGGCATGCCACGGGCACCACAGCCTTTGCTCCGGGGCTGGCTGCGTGTCCTAAGGCAGCGTCACCTCCTCTCTAAACTGCTTCCTCCTGTGCTGCAAGCAAGCCCTGCAGCAGCCCCTTGCGCCAGCTCTGCTCCCTTGCGCACGTGCCTCCTTCTCTGAGCCAAGCACAGTGAAAGAGGGAAAGCACGGAGACAGATATGTATTTATACGACAGAAAGGTCAACTGGGGACCCTTTTCCTGCCTCCATCTCCAGGGACCTGAGGCGGTGAGGGCCGGGCAGCGCGGTGGGGCCGGGATGTGGGGCCGGGGGCTGCTGCCCATTCCCAGCCCCGCTTCCCGTGAGCGACGCCGGGGCGGCAGCGCGGGCGATGGGAACGCTGTACTCACCATATGGAGCCTCCATCTTAGCGCTTAGCTGGGTGCTTACATTGACCATGTCTCGCCGGCTACTGCTATGGGGACTTGGGGTGGAAAAACCCGAGGAGGTAGAGGAATAAAAAGAAATCTAAATAGATAAATAGAAATGTCTTTCACTAAGGAACGAGGTGAAGGCAGGAGGGAGCGCGGAGAGGCAGGGCGAGAAAACCTGCCTCTCCTGTTATCTTATTGATTCGCTTAATCAGGGCTAATGTGGGTGGAGATGTTAAATAGTAACCAAGCTCTTATGGAAACCAATCTGCAAGGTGCCGTTGCTGTAGCTATAGTAACTGCTGCCAAGCTAGAAACTCAAACACGGCTTTTACTGGACTCTTTCGGGGCTCCCGTTTCCCCCCGGTGTCAAGGCCAGGGCAGCTGATGGGCTGGGATTCACCCCTGGCTGCAGGGGACAGGGAAGCCAAATCCGATTCCGCAGCATCCCGGGTGCTGCCAGTTTTGTGCCATAGCCCACCCGTGATGGGAAAAGCCTGCCCATGGGCAAATGGCAAACACTGCATGGGGAGCCAGGGGCTGTGGGATGAGCTGTGGGGCTGGCACAGGCAGGGCAGAGCCTGGACAAAGCACAGGGGACAAAATGCCCCAGCCATGAGCCGGGGCTTATCCACTCCATGTGGAACCAGAGGGGTCACTTGGGGATGGGGAGTGCGGGGATGCTGCAGTGGGATGCAGGGTGGTACCCTGAGAACAGCGCCGGGGCACAGGGCAGTCACAGCTCCTTCCCATCGCTCTCTGCTTCCCAAACAGAGGGGACCTGCAGGGTTCCACAGCCACTCATGGACATCTCTGCGCCTTCCAGGACCACAGCACCAAGGAGCCCTGGGGTCTTCACAGTCCGGAATGTTCCTTGTGCTACTGGTGGTTCCATGCTGAGGCAAGCAGGGCCATGTGCAAGAGGTGTTGCTGGGATGATACCAAATATATGGGGAGTCCCAAAGGAGCGTGCATCAGAGCAGAGCAAGTAAGGAGAGGGCCGCTGGGATACTTCTCCAGCTGCTCACCTCAAGGGGAGCATACTGGTATTCACATACAGCAGCCTCTGCCTCAGCACAGGTGGAGGGCACTGGGGAAAGCCCCCCAAGCCTGCAGAGCAGGGACCACGCCAGCCAGCCCCACTCCCTTCACACACCCTCAAACCATCCCTGTCTCAGGAAACAGGGACCTGAAACCATTCCTATTTCCCACAGAGTGGAAAGTAGCCAGAAAACACAAATGCTGCTGAAACGTATGTATATGCTAATAAATGCTAAAATAGATAATATTTTATATACAAATATATAATATACAATAATATATAATATGCTAAAAATGATGATATGATCTTATAAAAGCAGTTTCCTACACTAGGGATGAAGCAGGTTGGACAGCCAGGCTGCTGGTGGGGGGTCGGTGTTATAAATAATTCTGGTTCACCCCATCCCCATTCCCAGAGGCTCCCTGTGGGGCTGCAGCCCTAGAATCAACTGACGTGGTTGGATTTGAGTCCGGTGAAGCACATGTTGTTGAAGCAGCCCCCGCCATAGGCTGGGGGGCAGGCTGAGCACGGCTGCCCCACCTTGTAGGGCACTTCTCCCTGCCAGTTGCCCCTAAAAAGAGAGGAGAGCATCACCTCTGAGCACCACCGCTGACACCAGAGCGAGGGTGCTGGGGGGGTTCCCTCTGTGCACTCACTTGAAGGCATAGTTGCAGACGAGGAGGACGGCGTGCCGCAGCGTGCTGCCCCACACACGTATGTTGGTGCATGTGCTGAGGGCACAGCCCAGGCGGCTGGAGGATGCCCACACCATCTGCACCGGGACAGAGAACAGGAGCTATCAGTGACCATCCACCCAGGCATCCAACATCCACCACCCCAGGACCACAGCGCAGGGAATTGCATCCCACCAGGGAATTGCATCCCGCCTAGCAAATTCCTTGGGTTGGATCCTGTGCCCATCACTGGCAATGCTTTGTCACCAGAGGGTCGTCTTTTGCTGTCTGTCTTCTGCCTGCAGCCCCTCTGCCCCCTGCTCACTCCAATGAGCTGCAGAGTCTGGGTCTGTTCTCTGATTTACCCAAATTAGATCCCAAAAGTCACCCCAAATCACAGCCAGCAGCTCACCCTGCACGCATATAGAGCAAACACCAGAATCTCCTCCTAAACCCTCTCCAGGCTGAATTTCTTCCTTAAGAAAGTGCCTTGCCCATTTGCAACCCAGAGTGTCCCCGAGAATCCCCATGGATGAGCTGCACAAGGATGCAGATGCTCAGGTAAGGGTTGGAGCCATGCAGAGGAGATATTTAGGGATTGGCACTGGGAAGCAGAGGGAAGTTTTCCATATCGTGCTGGCCAGGCTGCTGGTGGATGTGCCAGGGGATGAAGGAGCTGCATTCCAGGTTGCTGACACAGCTGGGTGCTGTAAAGCCGCTCCATCACAGACAGGATTCATGCCTGCACCCTTCCAGCAGGCACAGTGCAGGCTGCCAGCCCTGCTGCCAGTATTCCATCCCAGATCCCAGTTCTGCTCCCTGCACCCAGGCTGTGTGCGGCGCTCACCTGCGTGTAGTGGCTGCAGACGGAGCCGCTGCATTTGGAGGGGCAGCGGGGGTTGCACTCGCGGGGGTGTGGGAAGGAGTAGTGCTGCTTCTCCTGGTGCCAGGATTTCACCATGTTGATGACGGAGGTGGACCTGCAAAAGGTGCTGCGGGTAAGGTGGACCTCATCCCCCTCAGAGCTCATGGGCAATGGAGAGGAAGGGGAAGGCTCTGCTTTGACGAATGGGGAGAGAAGAGGGGTTTAGCATTCCTGGTGAGAAGGGGCAATGACACCCTTGTGCCAAGTCCACTTGTGGAACTGGTGGACACACAACCCTCGCTTGAGGCCCCTGAGTGCTCAGCTTCATGGTGGAGTTCCAGGACTTGCATCCCCCTGGTCCACATGTCAGGCAGGATTGATGCCATTCTCCCAGATGAGCACCTCTGGTTTCCTGTATTTACCCTTCTGCAAGAGCTGGACCCCCCATCTCCACCACGGGGGCCTTTATGTGCCCCTGGTTGCTTCTCAGTCCTGTGCAACTCCAGCTCAGAGCCTCCCTGCTCCTTGACCGAGGGGCAGCTGCTGCTCTGCTCCTCCTCCTCCAGCATCGCAGGGTGCAGGGGGTTCCCAGGAGCCTGCTCTGCCCATGGGGCACTCACCTGCCCGAGTGGATGAAGAGGTTCTGCCCCACGTATTTCATCAGCTCGGGGGGCCCGTGGTCCCACAGGCAGCGCGCAGCCCACGCCTCAGCTGCCCTGGCCAGCCGCTCGTCCCAGACCTGGCCAGGGGGAAAGGAAAAGGGCAGGCAGGGATTTTGGCTGCCCAGAGGGGGGAATAGGAGAAACGCACTCTCCTGTGCTCGGGGAGCACCCACCAGTGTCCCAAAGCCACATCAGGCTGGGAAAAGCCCAGGGGCAGCCATCCCACAGCTGGGAAGCTCCCAGATGTCCCAGCCATGGGACCAGGGGTCCTAAATCTGCCCCTGGGTGGACGCATCACCCCATTAGGACTCCATCCCTCCTGCACAGAGACTGCATGTGCCTGCCCTGCATCAGGGACATGGAACATCTCCCAGGACAGATGATAGCCACAAACCCTGACATCCCCATGTGTGGGTGCCCCATCCCTACCAGTTGGGCACCCACATCCCAGGTGAGCTCCTTGACCCCACCGAGGACCCAGAGATACCCTACTGGAGCCTGACTCACCATGTACTCCATGTTGGCAGCAGGGGGGGACACCTGCGCCCGCACTTGGTTGTGGTAGTCCAAAATCATGCTCATGTCGCGGCGGGAGAGGAACCGCTTCGGATGGCCCCGGGGGACCCCCGCGCCCCACAGCAGCCCCGCGGCTCTAACCCCGGCAGGGGACAGGGGCTCGGTGTCGTTGGGCAGCAGCCGGGAGCTGGACTCTTGTGGCATCCAGAAGCCTACGGCAGTGAGGAGCAGCGGCAAGGGGAGCGCGGTCATGCTAGCGCGGCTGGACAGATGGGCCAGTGGCTTTCTGCTCCTGCAGGGGGTAAAGGAAGATCACCGGTCCCTGCGGCCAGCACGAGGGTCTAGGAGGGAAACCAGCACAGGCACCGCTCAGGTTTGCAAACACCGCTTCCCATTTTCCTTTTTAAAATCAATCTCTTCAATAACATCTCTCAACACAGCAAATTCCCCAGCACCGGCAGGGAGATGCCTGAGGACCTGGTTTTCTTGTTGTTTCCTTTCAAGAATAAAATCAGTACAAAATCTCCCCCGTCTTTGCAGGCATTGCACAAACCTGTCAGGCAGCAATTAAATAGGATCCTGCTGAGAAACTCTCTGCAGCCTCCTGCCCTGTAACTTCCCACATGTTTGGTGTGTTGAATAAATCCCCAGCACAAATGGAAATCTCATAAAGATAAAGAAATGCAAGGCAAAATTCTTCACCAGCAACAAATTCTGACGATTTCTTCCTTCAGGGGAAGATAAATCAGTGCCAAAAGCAGAATTTGTGCCTTTCTAAAACGGTTCTAAATGAAGGGAAATGAATGAATGAAATATTCCCCTGTCTGTCAGCCGGCGTCTGCGTGGCCCTTCCCAGCATCCCTGCCAGCCTCCCCCGGAGCAGCGGGGAGGTTGTGCTCCAAACACGTACCTTGAGGACTGAGCAGAGCCCGACACCGGCACCCGGTGGGATCGTCCTTCGGGACCAACCTGCGGTGGCGGCTGCAGGAGGGGTTTAGGTTTAGCTTAGCCCCGGCGGGCAGCCCGCTGCAGAGCCCGGTGCATCCTGACTGCCCCTGGAGAGGATCATGAAGTTGGGAAGGAGCCCTGCGCTAGGGCACTTATAGACTGCCGGGTGCCTCCGCACAGGGCGGGCTGGCAGCAGCGCTGAGCCCTGCACGATGCTGGCGAGGGGGAGCGAGCAAAGCCCAGCCCACCCGTCCATCAGACAGCGAAGGGCGTTTGCTGCCGGCTGGAAGTGTAACCTGTGCTGGGACATCCACAGCTCTGTCACCTCCTCACCCCCCCCCCGGGCGGGCGCAGCAGCGCTGAGCCCTGCACGATGCTGGCGAGGGGGAGCGACAAAGCCCAGCCACGCCATCAGACAGCGAAGGGCGTTTGCTGCCGGCTGGAAGTGTAACCTGTGCTGGGACATCCACAGCTCTGTCACCTCCTCACCCCCCCGGCCGGCTGCATCTGGGCGGCAGCTACAGAAAGCGGAGGAGGGTTTTTTCCCTGGCGATGCCCAGACAAAGGTATCGCAGGGGGAAGGATCCGTTCCTCTGCTGTGCCGCCTCAGGCTTGCGCTGGTGGCCGAGGGTCTGTCCTCAGGGAGGGGAGGTGACTGCATGAGTCTGAAAGCCGCTGACAATCCTGCAGCATCAGGTGTGTTGCCTTCAGCATCCCAAGCGGTCACGGTGCCTGGGGCCAGATGAATTGTTGTTGCAGGTCACACAAAGGTGGGCCCGACAGGCTGGAGGGGCTGCTTGCAATGCCCCTCGCATCTCTTTCTCCTACCCCTGCCCTTAGTGTGAGCGGCACGTGTGAACTGCAGTGGGGCTCGCTGCCGTCATTCCCCCCACGCCATGGGGCCACAGGTAAGCAAGGTGCTTATGGGTTCACCAGGGCACAGGTGGGTTTGGAGCCAGGATTTGGCATTTTGACTGCATGAAGGGGAGCACCAAGACCAAACTCCTTTTTCTGAGCGGGCAGGAGGCACAGAGGAGGCATGAAGCTGAAACCAGCACGTGCCCAGGGAAAAGCTGTTCCTCAGAAAGGGACAGAGAGGCTGCCGGGATGGTACAGGGAGGAGAAGGCAGTCCCACGGCAGCAGCTTCTTGTCCTCACTGGTTTGACTGGGACAAGGATCCCAGGCAAACTACTCCCACCCCATGCTGCGACTGACAGCAAGTCCAGAGCCTGATCAGCTGCACCCAGCACCCCAGAGACCCACTGTGCAGCAGGAGCCAACCAGGAGCTAAGAGAGGAGCAGACCCAAGCATGGAGCAGGAATAGTGCCCAGGTGCTGAGCTGATGTGCTGTATTAACACAGCCTCACTCTATTGTGAGCCTCTGCTGAAACAATCCCCTCTGTGTGGGCACCTGCTTGCCCATAAAGCAACTCAAGATGCTGCAGCCCCCAGGGAATGGCTGAAGACATGTGCTGAGGGATATTTCCATCCACTCCCCACCTGGCGGGTGGGATGATGCTTGCGCCGGTGAGGAGACAGGGAAACCACTGCTGAGGCATCTCCGTTCTCTCTGTGGTGCCTCAGGAGGGGACCCTTAGTGCAGGAGGAAGCAGCACCCCATGAACTGCGGGGCTGAGGATGCTGTTGAGGACTGTGGCGTGCCGCGGATGCTAGCGCTGGTCAAGACAGGGTGTCAGAATAGCTGCCAGAGCCCACCAGCTTCCCAGGCTGCCCACTGTAGTGTTTAACCAGCTCAGCTTCCCCTTCCCAGCACCAGATCACCCTAACCACCAGCCACCTCTCTGCAGGTGCCAGGCAAAGCACCATCCCTGGTTTGCCAGTCCTACCAACACCCCTAGTTCAAGTTCACATAAACTGAGGTGAGCACCAGCTCCAGGGCTGGCAGCTGGACAGCTCTTTGTACTGCACCGGGACAGCACATGCCAGGGCTGCCTCCTCCATTCAACCCCAGGTATCAAATCTCTCATTAGTAAGGCTGGTAAAGGCAGTTTTGTTCCCAGCGGATTAGAAAGGCAGATGGGGACACACAGCAGCAATCGTAACTGGGCAGACTGGGGACGTGGTTTGGGCAGACTGGGAGAAGCAGCCACACACGGAGATGGGGAGGGCACTGGGGCTGTGTTACGGAGAATTTGGGGAGGGGGTTTGCCAAAGCGGTCACCCAGCACCATGAACTGCACAGCTTTGCATCTGAGCTTGGCTTGGAGTGCTTGTTTCCCTGAGCAGAGCAAACCCACTGCAGCTCCCACTGCCACGTAGCAGCCGAGCCCCCAGCCCCTGCGTGGGGACCAGGCAAGGGTTTTGTCCTGGGTGCAGGTTGAAAGCACTGCTTAATCAGCACTCCGTGGGACAATCTGAATTCCAGGAACTGAAGGGAGCTTGTATCCCTGTAATACCCTGCAGCCAGACTGGCCCAGCTGCCAAAGCACAGCGAGCCAAGAATCTGCACACGCATTCAGCTGGATGCATAATGATTCTGTAAGCAGCGGCTGGCCAATTCTCGTTTTAATGAGCATCAGGGATAAAAAGAGATAAATCACTGCGCTCACAGTGCTCTCCTGGCAGACACACCTACTGGTGCTTTTAGAACCAACGGACACAGCAGCTTGCTCCAGAATAAGCCAGAATGGGACTTGCAGGATTTCTCTGTCATGTTTGTTTCTTCTGTCTCTTGGCTTCTGGCATCACCCACCAGCCATGGTTCAAGGCTGCACATGGTAACAGGAGCAGGGCTTTGACCTTTGCTGTGGTCCCTGAGCATCCCTATAGCTGGAGGTAGTCAATGTGGCTTTCCATAGCAGAATCCTTCTCTGTACTGTGGTAAAATAAAAGAGAAGAAAAGCCCTGTTTGAACAAAACTGTTTTTCCCAGGTAATGCACAAACTCTGTTGCTCCAGTAAAATATTGCCCCCTTATGAACCAGCAGAAAGGATCGTTTTCCAGCTTTGTGGAAGCTTTCCCCAGGTCCTTCCCCAAACACCACCAACAGCTTCAGCCGCCCTGCTGCCCACCCTGCCAGGGAAGGAAAGTTGGGCTTTTGACATCCTTCTGCATTTCTAGAGCCCTGTAGAGGTCCAACACATCCAGAGCTTGGTTTCTCCTCATGCTTCCTGGAAGGAGATCTTCCTTCTGACTCAGAGATCAGAAGATTTGATCTCCCCATCTTGTGATGCAAGAAAACCCAGCCTGAACTCCTGTACAGTTATCAGTGATGTCCCTGCAGTGAAGCACACCACTGAGCTGCAACCCAACTGAGATCAGTCTTGAAGACTGGGGACTTCAGAGTCCTCCTCCTCACTAATTCGGACCAGCTCCCTGTAAATGTTGCATCCCTTTCTGAATCAAGCTGAGCCTTGGAGGAAGAGGTCTGGAAAAGTCAAATCCTACTCTCAAGAGGTAAACCTGCTTTTGTGGCATGAAGTAAAAGCTGCTTGTTTTGGGGTATTAACTAAGGTGTCCCTCGAGGCTGATGGGGGATCCTACATGGTCTCTGTGGTCAATAGGTGGGTGTCAGCCCTCACACCTCTCTTCCCATTGCCCCTGTCACTGTCGGAGCTGTGGTCCCCACCAGCAGCCCTACAAGGCAGCTGTGAAGACCTCTGGCTCCAGTCAGCACCAAGATATAATTGGAGCCTTTGAGAGGCCAGAAATGTTTCTGCCAGCTCTAGAAATAAATGCCTCTGAAGTCGAGTGCTGCGGACGGGAGCTTCACATGAAGGTTCTTCACTGTAAGTTTAAGGGCTAAGTTTAGAAATCCACTTAATGACTCGAATCCAGAGCGTGGTTCATTTGATGTTTGCTAACAGTTCATTTCTCAGCTGTGGGTGAATGATGGTCTCACTGCACTCTGCTGACGTGAGAGGATCCAACGGGTCAATGGAAAGAAGGGCCCATCTCACTGTGGGTCAGCTGATACTGACGCAGAACCAAACCTGGGAACCAAGCATCAGCTGTGACCTCCTTGCCAAATGCACCCAGGATCAGCAGTGGGAAACCCATAGGTTCCCCACCCCATGGGGCAAAACCAGCCTGCACAAAAGGCATCATCTGAGGCAAGCATCCCATACAGTAAGCACAATGGTCAGGAGATGATGCAGCTCTGGCAAAAGGCTGGATCAGCTGCAGGTCAGGGGCTAGTGGATCACAGCCCCGAAGCCCAGACCTGGTGAAGTGAAGTCAGGACACTGTGGCAGCCTTACCATGTAATTTTCTTGCTTGGATGGGTTTGTACTGCAGGCTGAGTGCAGCCCCTGTGACTTCACTTCATTCCTTTCTACCAAGACCAAAACTGAGACAGAAACTGAGCACCTGGCCCTGGTTCACAGGGAGGTTTTCATGGCTGCACTGGGAGGTCTTGCTCTTGTTGCTCCTCTTCTCATGTGCCCAGGGCCCCACTGTGACACCAGCAAACACCCTCCAACCATCCCCACCAGTGAGCAGCTCACTGTCTCCCATGGATTTGCTACAGAAAATATCCTGACCTTGCAGGATTATGCAGATTCCAATCAAACCTTGGAAGGTCTGAGCGCATGATCTGCA